TTCACTTCTCACCGGGGGCGTGGGTACACTGTACAGTATTCTTCGCACGCCCCGGTAGTGATTGCCTTCTCGGCTCCTCGTCGGCTTTAACCTCATCTGTCCGCGCGGGAAACGGACGCATCCTCTTCAACTCTCTTCTGAGTGGCGGGCTTCCCCCTGCCCACCACTCGAGTCCTGTCACGGTGGGATTGTCCGGGCGAATGCCCTTCTTCTCCCCCCGGTGCGGCGGCTGCGAATGGCGTCCTGGCTGGTCGCCTCTCTTGCCCTCTCCGCCTCCTCCTTGATCGTCATTACGGCCTCGCTGAACAGTTGGACGGCCTTCCATGCTCCGTCCGATTCGACCATTGATGTTATTGTGGCCGGCAGGGAAAGATCTTCGCCCACTGCGGCCACAAGGTCTCTTCGCTGTGATGTCCAAGCCGAGCACTCCGCCAGCGTGTGCTGGGCAGTGTCCTCGGGGCAATCCGCACAGTGGTGACACACCGCAGACGGCTCCCTCCCAATCCGGCGCAGATAACTGCCGAAACATCCATGTCCCGACAGCACCTGCGCCAGACGGAAGGTCACCGTCCCGTGCTCCCTCTTCATCCACGCCACGAGAACTGGGCGGATTGCCCCGATGACCCTGGCACCAACCCGCGTCTGACGGAGGTTGCATTGCCATCTGGCCACTGCATCTTCTCTCCTCTCCTTCCTAAATGCTTCGACCTCAACCCTTAAGGGCGGAGCTCCGTCTGATAAAGTCTTTTGGTCTCTCCATCGGTGGACTGCCGCAAGTATCTCTGCTTCCAGCGCCCATGGCAGGGAACCTGCCAGGGCGCAGGCCGCGTCATATGATACGGTGCGGTAGCCTCGTATCACCCTAATGGCCAAGGTTCTTTGTGGCCGATGTAACACCTCAATTGTTCGCTTGTTCAGGGCGCCGCTCCATACGGGTGCGCCGTAAAGCGCCATTGATTTAACGACGCCCATGAACAAGCGCCTACAAGCCGCTTTGGGGCCGCCGACGTTCGGCAGTAAACTGCCGAGTGCGGCGGCTGTCCGCAGCAACTTGGGACTCAGCTTCCGAAAGTGGGTCTCAAACGTCCACCTCCCATCCAACGTGAGGCCCAGGTACTTCATCTGTGAATTTATACTAATACTTACGCCGCCGACAATAATGTGGGCTCCCGGAGGTGGCCTGCTCCGAGGTCCATGAAAGTAGAGGGCCTCGGATTTGTGCAGGGCCACCTCGAGACCCAGGGCACGTATTCTGCCCACCACTTGGGCTACTCCAGCCGTAGCGAGAATCGCGCACTCTCGGTACGTGCTTCCTCGCGCCGTCACTAGGGTGTCGTCTGCGTAGCAAGTGACGTCGACACCTAGGATGTTGGCGCCCCGCAGCACCCAGTCGTAACCCACATTCCATAGAAGTGGGCCGAGGACCGAGCCCTGCGGAACGCCACAGGTGACCTCATGTCGACACCACTCGTCCCGGCTTCTATAAGATATTGATCTGGCCGATAGGTAATCGGCCACTATTCGTCGCAGATATTTAGGCACTTTGTGATAGCGGAGGGCCTCGATGATACAGCTCCAGGGCAAGGTGTTAAACGCGTTTGCGATGTCCAAGGACACCGCAAGAACGACGTTGCCCTGGGAGACTGCTTCCTCCGCTATCTTCTTCACCCGCATGACCGCATGGACTGTGGACCTGCCCGGCCTGAAACCAAATTGCTTGGCATCCAGGTCCGGGCCGACCGTCGCCATGTGTCTAACTAGGCGGTTGGCAATAATCCTCTCGAAAATTTTCGCCACTTCATCGAGAAGGATTATAGGCCGGTACGCTTCAGGGGAGTCGGCTGGCCTGCCCTCTTTTTTGAGGAGGACCAGGGTGCCGTTCTTCCACAACCGAGGGAAACGTCCTTGTGCAAGGCAATCACCCATCATCTCTACAACCCTCTCCTCGTACATTTCCGCGGCTAGTACCCAAGCCCGGCCAGGTATGCCATCCGGCCCCGGAGCCGTCCTTTTGGTACGTAGCCGGTAGATTCCGGCCCCGAACTCGCCAGGGGTGACCGGTGGAATCTCTTCTCCGTCAACGGGGCCAGGGTTTTCGTTCTCGATGTTCAGAATCCTGTAAGGCGGCATGTGTGCTACTCCGTTGGGAAAGAGAGACTCCACCACTCCCTGCACCAGTTGGGGCCGGAGGCTCTGCGTCAGAGGTGATGCCCGCGTCCGGAGTTTCCCCCGAACCAGAAGATAAGGGCGGCCCCACGGATCTTGATTTAGGGTCTCGATCATTTCCTCTCGCGCCCTATCTTTGGCTTCGCAGATCGCTCGACTTAGTTCTCGTTTTGCGGCTTTGTAGGTGTTATGTAACCTCGTCTCGGTGCTTTCGTCCCTTTGTCTTTTCCGGCGTTGTCTTTGGTACTGGCGTCTGGCAGCTACGCACGCAGTGCGCATTGCTGCTATGTCTGCAGACCACCAGTACACTTGTCTCTTCCGTGGTGGGGGACCTTGCCGCGGCATCGACGCATCGCAAACGCGAGTCATCGATGCACGCAGCGCGGCAGCCCTTTCGTCAATATCCAGTGTGCTGTCCGCAGGCGACCAAGTTTCGACCTGGGCAGCTTCCGACAGTAAATCCGTGTTGAGCCGCTTCACCACCCACCGTGGGGTGTCCCGGTGAAGCGACTCCGGTCCCGGGTGTGCTGGGACCGATGGTGTCTCCGATAATGAGAGACGGATGTAACGGTGGTCGGATAGTGTCTCCACACCCTCCACTACCTCCCAACCGTACACCCGTCTCGCAGTCGCAGGGCAGGCGAACGATACGTCCACGATCGAACTACCCTGCGGCCGTACGCACGTGGGTCTCGACCCTCTGTTTAGAAGGCAAAGCCCCGTGGTCACGGCCCACTCCTCCAACACTGCACCCCGAGCATTCGTGGTTGAACCACCCCACGCAGAGCTCTTGGCATTGAAATCCCCCATTACCAGCACGGAATGGGGGAGATTTCTGCCAATGAGGGTTCCGATGCGATCGAGAAGACCCTCGAACTCTGCGAGGCTTTTGCTGGGAGCGCAGTATACCCCGACGACCATGGTTTCGCCAACAGTAGCACTCACGTACCCACGGCCCTTTTGAACCCCGTCAATAGACGGAGATCTCGCGGTCCGGGGCACGATGAGCGCTACGATGTTATCTTCATCACCTAGCCAATCATCCCTGTTGGGGACAAAGTATGGCTCAGACACCACAGCCACCTGCGTCGACCACTCAGCCATGCTCTGTAAGAGCAGGTCTTGAGCCCGAGCGCAGTGGTTAACGTTTGCTTGTAGAAGGTGCAGAGCCATTTCTAAAGCCGACTTCCTCCGTCTCCATAGCGACTTCTTCTGGAGCCTGTTGTGCTGGTTGAGGCTGCGTCTTCCTTCCTCTGGTGATTTTGGGGGCTGGTGCAGTACAGCCTTTGCCTCCTAATCTGTGGTCCGCTGGTATTTTGGCCGCAGCGCAGATGGAACATTGCGGTTTGGCTGTGCATCCCTTGAAGTTGTGGCCCTCTGCACCACAGCGGAAGCACTGCTTGCTCCTGTCGACTTCCGCGGTGCACTGCGCTCTGACGTGCCCCTTTTGCAGGCAGCGGTAGCAGCGCAGAGGTCGAGGCTCAAGCAGCGTGACGGTTGCCGACACCCAGGATATAGTTAGCCGGCCTGCTGCAGCCACCCGCTTCGCAGTTGGTACCTCGCACTCAACCCAGGCGTGTCCCACTCCAAATCTGTCTCTGACTACGCCACTACATTTGAGGCTATCCTTCAGACATCCTCCTGTTTCGGCAACCGTCGCCAGAACTTCTTCTACGGTTGCCGAGTCGTCCAGCCCCGATATTTTTATCTCCGTCGTCTTAGCCGGCCTAGAGATACGGACCAAGTCTCCGCTGAAGACTTGCGTTAGCCTTTCAGCTAGGGCATCAGCTTGCGGACCGTTGTCCGTGCCCAGGACTTCAAACCTCCGCGCTCCTGTGGCACACACCCGGAAGCGTACCCCGGTTGCTATGCCCAGGTCTTGCAATCTTATTTTGGCTTTAGCCTCCGCAATAACCGCGTCGTATGTCAGACCATTTGCCATGGCCTCAGGGGTGATGGTGACCACTACCGCGGCGGTCTTGGGTGCACTCTCTGTTGGCGCTGGTGCTCGCGCTGGCGCTCTTGATGTTCTTGGCGCTCCTCTTCCTAGCTCAGTGTTGGTGAATACACGTGGCCGCTCCTTCTTCTTCTGCTTCCTCCCTTTCCTGACCACCGTGCTCCAGGGTAGCTCTTGGGGCTGGTTTTGGTCATCAGGCTCAGCCGCCGTCGCCGCTGTCTGGGGTCGGGCCTGGGGCTCCGTCGTTCTCTCCTTAGCAGGTTTACCCGAGGCTTTGCTCGAGGTTTTACCCGCGGTTTTGCCTGAAACTTTGTCCGAGGTTTGTCCGCTCTTAGCCAGGCCTGGGGCTTTTGGGGCTGCCGGTGCACCGCTGCCTTCCGACTCGGGCCTGTTGTCCGCCGCCAGCGGGGGACGAAGGCGCTTCTCCGGTAGGAGACGATCCTGCAATGCCTCGAATCGGGCGTTAATCATAGTGCCAACTTGGCATAAGATAGTGCGCACTAACTCCTCGTTGTCGCTTGGCTGCTGCCGTTGTGGTTCTGGCTGTCTGATCTCAACGGCAGCTTCTGTCCTCGTGTTTGATGTTAGGAGGTGAGTCTTCATCTCAGCCACCTCCTTGCGCAGCTGAGCTACTTCCGCTCGCAGGCGGGCGTTATCCGCCTGCAGGCCCTTGGTCTCTTCCGTGATGCTTCTGTTTTGCAGAGCTTTCGTCATCTTCGAGATTTCTTCTGCTGCGTCCTTCAAGGCTCGCACGTATCCGCCTTTTAGATTCTTGGAGGTGGTAGCCACTTTCTTAATGACCTCCACGTTTTCCTTGATACTCTGGCTGAGGGAGTCGGCCGCCTGAAACTCCTCGTCCTCAGTGACCGACTCCGACAGCCTGTGGGCTTGGGCTCTAGCCCGAGCCGCGCGAGAGGCAGCGACAACTTCTGCCTCCGCTCTCCTCCGCTCCTCTTCACGTTCGGCCTCGACGAGTGCCAGCTTGGCCTTGGCCAGGCCGACATAGTGGCCCGTGGTGGGCGGACGTCCTCTTCTCTTCCTGGGCATCGGACTAGCCCGGCGGCTGGTTTCGGACATAGATGTTGAGTCCTCGCTCAGCATGAGCTCCGTGTCCAGCTCCATTTCCTCATCTACACCGCTCCCCGTCACTTCCACATCGCGTGCATCTGTAACCGTATCCAAAGCCAAAGTCGTCGTGCAGTCAAAGCAGTTTTTGCCCCCCCCAGAGTACGAGGGGCAGCCCGAGGCCAAAGTGGCCTCGGGGAGGGATTCTCCACCAGCGGAGCTGGTGGTACCCTCCTGGGGTAAATTCGTCTTAAAACTTGCCATCATGCTGGGTTGGTCCGGTGTTGTCGGACACCGGAAACCGCCTTTTCGAAGCAGGGTGAGGTCCCCGACAAATAAGCGCAACCTTGCAGGTTGCCGTCCACCGACCGAAGTCCTCAGCAGTTTAGCGTGCTGCTGCACGTCCTCGACCTTACGCCCGACAGGGTGGCCGGGTTGACCAACCCTGCCGCGCCGCGAGCCATGAAGGCCGCCATACACC